GAAGTAGAAAAACAGACACAGGCTTATGTCAAAGTATCAATTTGAATACTTTATGGGTAAAGTCTGGTTGTAATTGTCATTGACCAACTTCAAAAATATGTTAATACTTGTCAAATCTAAAAAATATATTATGTTATATCATTATCTTTTAAGTGTTTGGCAAAAACTTTTCCACAGCTCCTGTTTAAAGTTTACATGTGAATCCCTGAATCTACAACACACTCTTGACTTGAAAAGAAAACATGGCGGGACCACCCACACGAATTGACCGCCATGGAGAGGTCAACACAAAGGAAATTCAGACAAATTATAAATGCATTAAACATTACTTATCAAACAATTTGTTCAAAATGATTTATGCTAATAAAGCATGTTAGCCTATAGCTGAATAATATTTTCATTATTTTACCCCGCACAACAAAGTAGTCAGGAGGGTATACTGGAATGAGCTTGTCCGTCTGGCCGTCGGGCGTTAAGGCGTCCTTCGGCGGACGTAAGGATCGATATTTGTGAAGGAAAAATAATCAATAATGCAAAATTTCTCGATATTCCTTGTTTATTGTATTTATTAAACCACGCTTTCTTCTAAACCGGAAATACATCAACAGGTCTAACACCACTAAAAATAATCCTTCTTTCAACAAAGGCTTATTCGATTAGAAACTATAGTTCACTCTTTTGGACAGTCGGTTTTTCCTTGTCCGCAAACGAACTACAGATTCCTTTGACCCACAGTCTTCATGTTTGGTATTGGGATCGTTCATGATTGAAAGATGACCTCTATTGATTTTGAAATCACTAGACCTAAGGTAAAGATCACAGGGGCCTTGACACTAAAATGCTTGTCCGCCCAATAAATTGAGATTCCTTTGACCCACAGTATTCATATTTAGCACAGAGTTTAGCCATGCCCATTAAATTGCCCCTATCGATTTTGAGGTCACTAGGCCAAAGGTCAAGGTCACAGGGGCCTTGACTTAAAAAGCTTGTCCGCCCAATAACTTTAAATTCCTTTGACCCACAGTCTTTATAATTAGCATGGAGGTTAATCATGACCATTAAATGACCCCTATTGATTTTGAGGTCACTGGGTCAAAGGTCAAGGTCAGACAGACATTGACTAAAAAATGTCTGTCGCCCAATAAGTTAATATTTCTTTGATCCACCGTCTTCATACTTGGCATAGATGTTAGTAATGATAAGTAGATGCTTTCTATTGACTTTGAACTCACTAAGACAAAGGTTAAGGTCACAGGGACATTGACTAAAAAAATCTTGTCCGCCCAATAACTAAAGATTCCTTCGACCCACAGTCGCCACATTTTGGACGGATGTTAGCCATATTAAGTAGATGAACTCTATTGATTTATAGGTCACTGGGTCAAAGATCAATGTAACAGGGACCTTGACTAATAAAACCTTGTTTTCCCAAGAGTCTTTATATTTTAGCATGGAGGTTATTCATGATTTGTAGATGACTCCAATTTGTTTTTGAGAGGTCACTGGGTCAAATGTCAAGGTCAGACAGGCCTTGACCAAAATGCTTGTCCGCCCAATTACTTAAGATTCCTTTGACCCACAGTCTTCATATTTTGCATGGAGGTAAGTCATGATTATTATATGACCCCTATTGATTTTGAGGTCAAAGGTCAAAGTTGGAAGGGCCTTGACTAAAAAAAGCTTGTCTGCCTAATGTCTTAAGAATCGTTTGACCCACAGTCTTCATATTTGGCTTTGATGTTAGTTATGATTAGTTGATGACGCCTATTGATTTTGATGTCATTGGGTAAAAGTTCAAGGTCACATGGGCATTTACTTAAAAAAAGCTTGTCCACCCATTGACCCACAGTCTTTACATTTGGCATTGAGGTTAGTCATGATAATCAGATGACCCGTATATATTTTGAGGTCACTGTTTCAAAGGTTCAGGTTACAGGGGCTTTAACTACAATAAGCTTGTCTGCTCAAATGCTTAAGAATACCTGTCTGCAGTGTTTTGATTTTGACATTTTCACATTTGAAGCATATGGAATAAATAACTTAGCAATACACTGTCTTACTAACCTCAGATTTGACAGGGAAGTTGTCCTTGAGCTCTTAATGGCCACTCTTGATTCTGACAATGTGGTATGCGGGGGTTTTCACACCAAGACATTGGCAGTTCTAGTTTTGTAATTGTGCTGACAAGTTATTCAACCGCACATCATTTCCAAGGTAAGTCAAATACATACCATCAGATTAAAACAAATCTTCATCAACAATATGCAAATCTTGGTGCTTAAAATAATACCCTCCAACAGCGCATACTATGGTGGTGGCATAATTATACAAAGAAATTATAGCTATATTCAGAACCTTACAATTTTAAGAATAACGCTTCTTACCACGAGACAATTTTCAGACGAAATCATTTGACATTGCTGACCGTTTCAATGATTGTTTGGATAATGGTGGGGCTAAGAGCGAGGTTTGATGCATCATTAACCGGTCTAAACTCCCCAGCAGTCATTACTATGCTGCTTACCGTTCCAAGGCGGCGCCCCTCTGTGTTCCTCAGTTGTATGTCTATGTTGTTTCATACTGTTTTGGTGACACTTTTGCTTGTGTCCCTTGTTGTTTTCTCGTCTACGGTAAGTATCTTCCCCCTTTACCCCTAGTTTTTATTTCATTGATTACCCCCCCCCCCCTTCCCCAGGTCTCCTGTCCCCTTCCCCTGTGCCCTTTGTGGGCCTATTACTCAATCATTTATTTGGTTTCTTTTGATTCCTAATCAGTTTCAATTTATTTATCATTTAGTGATAGACTTGTCCGAGCTCTGTCTTGTGCCCTGTCCTGTTTTTGTTTGGGGTCCGTCTGGGCTCCTTGCCACTGGTTCTTGTTGCTGGGTCGTGTGGGGGTTGCGTTCTTTAAACGCCGCCTTTCCTTGTTGATCTTGTTTATCATATTTTAATGAAATCTCTTAAGTCATGACCGAGATCATTGCCACCATAAAGTAACAGAATTAAATCTGGAGGAATGTCCTTCTTGTAAATGATGCTTTAAGCTTTCATTTTGGCTGCATAAACGTCCGCTATGAAATAAAGTACTATCACATCTATCACAATATGGATACTCGTAAACTTTCAAGCCTTAAATTCATCTGCTAGTATTATTTCGTGTTGCACAATTTCCGTTGAATAATAAGCCAAGATACTACAGATGACCATTAAATAGTAGCAATCTGTCTTCCAGTAAAAGCACATATTCTTAAGTGATAACTGACAATGATTAAAAAACTGCATGATTAAGATATATATATAAGGCATAGTTGAATCTAATAAGTTTAACACAAAATTTCCTTTAACACAATTATCTTTCCAAAAGATGCATATGAATTGCCACAGTGTTCTTGTGTGTCCAAAATATTAAAGAATTCTTTTTGTTTTATAAAATTATTACCCTGGATATTTCAAAGATATTAACACTTTTTTTTCAAGATTGGTACTTCTCAACGAAACATTGGTTCAAAATATGAAATATTATTACGAAGTGATATTTACTCTACAGTGTAATCGTATTTTCAATAAAGGCTATTCAGTATTATTTTATTGTTTCATCATTTCGTATTATATATTAAGTAATGATACAATTATTTCTGTTGTATTATTACGTGTATAGTCAAATAACGTTTTTTGCTTGATCCTAACATTTTACGCTTTTGTGTTCTTTTATATATGCTTCAACCAATTTATTGTTAAGCTTAAGGGCCGCCTTTTCTATATATACCTTTATATGCATTTCAGACTGCACGTCTCTTGAATTACCAAACGGAGATGTTCAATTTTCTAACAGTACATGGATCGGATCGGTTGCTACTTTTACATGCAATGACAAATTTTACATCAATGGATCTTGTAAGCAGAATGCCACATCTCAGTGTCTACAAAATAAAGCGTGGAGTGTGTCAGCACCAACATGTGTTCCCAAAGGTATCAAAGATATTGAAGAGTGTTTTAGAGATATTGGTGTTTAAGGAAGGAGTGTGGTAGCATATGGAGCAATTTGGTTGTCTCTTAACATAGAGATCGTAAATTCAAGTTCTACAGGTATCACAATCATGCTTGTTAGATGATATCAGTATTCGTCAGCTCCAGGAAAAGAAATAAATAGTGGATAAAATAAATGAAAACAGTTTTCAAAATGGATCCTATATGTCATGTAATAAACTGATGAAATACCAGAATATAGAAACCACAACACTTTCAGTTATAAAAGGGATACGAAATATCTGAATTAATAGATTAATTATATTTCAAATTTATTCACCTTGGAAGAGCAAAATAAGGTGATAAACTAGCAAAATGCAACGAAATTGTTTTAAATTTTGTAGACATTTCATACCATTAAAACATGGACACCTGTTGTTGAGATAGAACACTGGTCACCAATTCAAAGTTTCTCTCATTATACATCAACAACTCACATAGATGCGACAAGTAGGTAGCAATTAAGTTGTATGGCTGATCTAAATGTACTATGTATCTACAGGGAGAGGCTTCAGGAGTCTATTTCAAATTTGAAATAAATGGGATAGCAAATATACATCATCAGCAGTAACGTATAACAAAGACAACATAATCTTCTAAATGTGTACACAGAATATGTACATGCATCTCAAAGTTTATAGTAGAAAACAAACATTTACATTAAAACAGTTTGGAGATAGAAACCCTGTGTCAATATTAATGTAAGATAATGTAGTGGTATGAAGAGTTAAAACTTATCAAAATTGCTTCATATCTAAATTCTCTCTCTGACATAAAGGTTCAAGATATATAGATAATCGAATCCCTTTACCGACAGAAGTAAACCAGGAAGATACGTTCTTCACTGAAGACATAGCATTTTTCAATGTGTTATCTAAAAAATTTTTTTTGCATTGATCTGGTCGATGAATTTGAGAATATTTTTTATCTAAAGCACTTGGGCCTTTTTATTTTGTAGCGTTCAATATTTATTAGCTTGTTGTTTGGATTTGAGATGGAAGGATATAAAGTTTTTCTTTCTACGGTCATTGCAGTATATATTGGTATGACTTATTTCTCATTATAAAAATAACTAAACAATAAATAAATAATATTTTCAAAAGAAATGTATTGCACTAAAACTCCAGTTTTAAAGAAGTAAAATGAATTTAATTCAGCTGAGAGTACGCAAAAAGTCGTCTTTTGCAGTCGTTTATCGGAAATGAATTATGATTGTATATCCGAGTTACACAATTCTTTTGTTATTCTAGTGTCAATGTTAACCTGATATTTGTGTTCTAGTGATTTTTAAGAACGCTTTCTTATCATATATATGAAAATTACTGATTTCATCAATAATTTCCATTTGAATGCTATTTGGAAATAAATATCTATTATTACCCTTAAGTGCTACCATTTCGCGGGGATACGAAGCTAATGGTGGAACCTGACTTTGTAAGCTCCTGGTATTATATGAAAGCCCAAGCTGGCACTAAGACGACATTAGTATCCATTGAGCATGGCCTTGGAGAAACACCTTTGCTTGTTGACGTGCAAGTTCGTGATGAACATGACGTTGTTTTTCCAGGGTCAGGTAGGTAATAAAGATATACTGTATTGAAATGTCCTCAGTGAAATCCATTACCAAAGAAAAAGCTTTCTGTACAAAAAGCCTTAAAATTATATATCTTCCTTCATGATTAGTGTTAATGCATTACTTAAATTTATGTTTCTGATGCGAATTATTTATTTCAAGACAATTGCCGTCAAGAATAATTACAATTTCATAAACATTTACTTAAGCACATGTGACATTGAAATATATTTAGTTTTTGTTCTTTTTTCTTCCAGAATGTAGCTTGGCCGAGCCTTCAGACAAATTATTTAACCGTTTTCGTTTTCGGTTATGATCTGTGTTATATGTTTTATAGGTTGCCGTGCTAGAGATGATGATCAACCAGAAGGATACGGTGGAATAATTTACATTTACAACGATGTATACATTGAAATCAGTTCTCCGATACAATCGGATGGACATATTGGCCGTTGTGTATACACAGGTTAAATATCAAATTTAATTCATATATTATGTTTTTGATTTGCAAAATATACAGATGTCATTTTGACAGGTATATTTTTATCTATTATTGTGCCTATAGAGCATGATTGATAAAGTTTGTTGGTTAAAAGAAATATCTCTAAGTATTCTCTAAGTATTCTGAAGCTTGTAAGAAGATTGTATTTTTGCCTAACGGATACGTCTTTCATACATATGAATACTAAACAAACAACCAATTAGAAATATGTAAGTTTTAAGATCTATGAAAGTCTTTTTTCTAGAAATAATAACACTTGTTAATACTTTATGACAGACTATGAATTTTAAATTCTTTGAACAATTGACGCACTCATTAAACGGTTGCATTAAGAAAAGCTGCTTATGGATAGAATAGCTTTGCGTTATTTTTTTTTATAGGATTTGCATATGGGTAAGTATTTACCTTCCAGTAAAATATATCTATATGGACTAATAAAACTCAGTATGTAAAAAGATGTGACCATCTTGAAAGTTGAATTGGAAAGGGTTGGAAACAAGTGTTGCAGGAAAGAATATTTATCTCCTTTGGCTGGGTTTCGCATGATAAATGGTCAAAAGCTTTCATTACGCTCATCGGACGACAAACTGTTACAGTAGTTGATATTTGTTTATTATGTGTGAATATGCTATTTGACAATTTACGAACTGCTTTTCCGAACACGTAGAACGATATTGAAAATCCATGTATATATTTAAATGTGACGTCATTTACCCTATTTCAAATCCTGTTAAAATATTGCAAGCTCCTCTTCCCGTAATCAGCCGTTCTATGGTTTGGTTTGAAAGATGATATAATTGAAAACATTTTGCACATATGAAAACATATGAAAACATTATATTTAATCCAGGACAATTACCATACTGGAATGGACCATATGATCTAGACTCTTATTTCGCTCATGTCAGAGCTCGAGCTTGGAAAAAATCGTCCCTGCCTCCCGCAGATTTCGTAAAGACAGGACAATTCATATCTGCAGGTTGTAAATATAAATGACACTATCGTTTACAATACCAATATGTTTTTTTTTTTTGGTAATTTAAAACACATTGTAAGTATAATAGTTGTCAAAAGCAACAACAAATGTAGATTTAGAGGAGTACTTTAAGGATGTTGAAAGTATTATCTTTGATTCTTTGATTTTGAACTAGTCAGTATCTTTTCTTTGTAGTTTATTGCAAATTAAACAAAAGACAGAGTAATAATTTTTCATCTGATTTCATAGATTCTTAAATTGACAACAATTTTGAAACAAAAAGATTACTACAACAACTGGAGTAATACGTATTTCGCCGATGCGCGTATTGCATATGGTTAAAGGCAATACTGATACAAGTTAAAGTCTTAACTGTTTAAAAATATGAAAAAAAAGTATCAACAAGGAAGGGTGGCATTCATTGAACGCATCCCCTAATAACACACTGGCAGGGAGCCAATCGGTCTTATAAAGCTTATTAAATTTAATTTTGTACCAAATTTAAGAGCAATTTATTAAAGGCCCATTATATGAGTAAATTTTTATTTTTTTAAGTTACGGCAATCTAGAGATTTATTATTTTTATTTAATGGTTTTGGAGCATGTAAGATGCTTGAAACCTTAAGAATGTTGTTCTTTATTTGAATTTGTTTGCCATAAAAGTAGCAAAAGGTTAGCAAAATAGTATTTGACTTCTATACAAGGTACTATTCCGCTATAACTGTTCTAATTGCCAGCATTCAACGGAAGAAAAATTATTCAGGTCATTGGGCGATGAGTAAGTTTGAAAACTATAGAGGTAAACCATATATTAGGGCTTTGAAAAAATAAATCAAAAGCATTTTGGGGTATAATGGGCCATAAATGAATATCAAAAAGCAGACGAGATGAAATTCTATCACAATTGACATTTTCTGTCAAATGTTTGCTGTACATAGAATATTTTTGCTAAAGTTAAAATATTTAAGCATTAAAATGAAACCATTTCTGCCCGTTCGAAAGCACAAAGATCTGTCTTGTTGTAAAATTAATTAAATATGTCAGCGAGATTTGTGCAGGGAACTTGGAATTTGACCTTTAATGCTTTAAGCACCATTTACAAAATAAGAAAGATGTTTTCATACAGTTTGACATTTGACATGACATGTTCGTCTTGTGGTTTGTATTGGTCAAAATGGGTTTATTCCGCCGTTGATTGAATGTTCTACCTTTTAAATCATTTTGTCATTTAAAAAAATGTATTCTGAATTTCATCAAAGATAGCTCATCAGATACCTTTAACGTTATTTAGTAACTGTATATATTTATAAACAATGTTATTTCAAAATTAATATTTTTGTTAAAGCTCAGGACAACTATTTTGAGGAATCCCATGGCCTAGGTGATTATCCTTCATTGGTGATATCAAGAACTAAGTTTCCATCGTCTACGGAAACATATCCTGATTACTATTCTGATTCTGTTGGTAAGTATGCCTTTTTAAAACTTGATATGATGTTATAAAAAGTCCCTTGTATGACATGATATACACACTGTTCTCATAAAAACACTAACAATGAGATTTTTCAAAACGTTTTTTCACAAGATGGTCTAAATTATTTGAAACAATCCGACAAGGAATTCTCTTGGTAGTGCCATTTATCAATTTTGCAAATATACCGAATTAAGACACATTTTCTGTCTTTTAAATTATTAGTTTAGATAGTGTTACAACATATGAGTATGTTTCGGTAAGTGATGAATAGTCTGAATAAATATATTGAAACTAATTCTGACTTCACGTAGCGTTTGCGTTAAAAGAACCTAATGACACAGCATTCTACAGTTATCTTTCTATAAAGAACGCTGTATGGATAAATTTAAATATACATTTCAAACAATTTTTTGTGGTTATTTATATAAAAAAAGGTTGTTCTTGAAAATAATTAAATATTAACGTTTTTTGAGGTTAATATGGATGCCAATATATCTGTCGTGTGTTCAGAATAATGACTTCTACCTAAAAATACACACATCCGATTGATTAGGTCTTTAAAAAATTCAGCCCCCAAAAGAAGATATATATTAAAGAATCAATACATGTGAACATTATGCAATTCATAAGTGAACGTGAAAACTGTATCTGTACAAACAACTTAAAAATCATCTTTGCAAATACTGATATTTGTTGTCAGTCTTAGATGCGACCTTCGTCGAATTAAAGTTATGTGGTTTCTGATTTTAAATCTTGTATCAGTTCTATAAACCAATCATTGATAAGATACCATTCGCGTTTAAATTAAATGTATGTTTAATTATACTGATAGGTTCTTCATTGGGAATGTATGACAGCAACTCAACTCAGAACGCTTTTGTTGTGTACGGATTTAGCAATGAAACTATTAGAGTTTGGGCACCGACGTCTGAAGCTGATTGTAAGTTACTTTAAGTTAGGTTTAATAATGGAAATAAAATTTATAATAGTAATAATAATAATAATGATGATGATGATGATGATGATGATGATGATAATGTTAATGATGGTACTAATAATGACATAGGGCAAAGAGAACAATAACACTGATAATAATAAATTTGATAATAATGAAACAAATATTGCTAATATTGACGGTAAAAATAATAACAATATATATTTAAATTGATGATAAGGTTGATTCAAAGTTTAGAAAGAAAAAATCTGCGCAAACGAAACAAATATTATTCTCAGCAGCAAAAGTCCTAAATCATAATTAAACGATTTTTAGGTTTAAAAATGTATCCACATATTTTTTTATATATCTATATTTCTTTTGATGAACACAATGCCAACATTTTGACAAAATTTTAATGGACACAGTTATGTATGTAGATCTTTTAACGAGTACTTTTACTTTAACCTATACATGCACTGTGTCAAAAATAGTCAATTTCTGGAAATTAACGTGTACATTTCAATAAACTGTTTTAACCTGTGCTTTGGTTCCTGAATTTCTAAATGATACCTTTTAAAAATGTCCAGACTGCAGCACTACAATTTCATTCTAAATTAAGCAAAATCCTGATATCAGTGTTATCAATTAAAACTGACCAGAATAAACAAGTTAAAATCATTCATTATCACCTACTATGATCTAGTATTGAATGATTATCAAATTGAGGTCAATTAAGTTTAATTAAGAATGTGATTCTGGATGGAGTTTGCAGTAACTATTTAAATGATAAAATAGTTATGAATTTCAATTAAGATATTAATTGATTAATTAATACAATGTATAGATAGAACTTGGAGATAATGGCACAAGCAATTGTGTCTTTATTAATAAATGAAACACGGAAACATCGGATCTGGAATGTATGCTTTATGTCAGAATAGTGTTGATCACCCTATTTCGTGCTTCTGCAGATCATATACTAATGCACGGAAGAAGGTAAATTAACTCTCTATTAATAATGCATTTTTTTGCAGATGTATTCGCTGGCATAGATGGTTGGAATTTTGATGCTGTTAAGAATGGAACTTTGGAATTGTATGCATGGAGGAATTCATCGTTAACTACGTCGTCTACATATCAAACTACGTTTCCTCTTGGTCTAAATCTAAGAATAAGAAAAATCGATATCAATAGAAGTTTTGTTAAAGCTTGGGTAATAAAAAACATTGTGGCTATGAAAATAACTTTTTTTTTTAATTGTTGATCAGAAGATAATCTATGTAAAATAGGAAGAATGTTTATTTCATGTAACATTTTGTTTCCCTAAATAAAATATAATGACTAATACAAATATGCTGAATCTTAGAAACAAAGTCTTTATAACGAAACATATCATACAAATCTTACTCAACCAGAACATAAAGACTGTAAACGAATTATTTATATAGTCAAATGAATATTTTAGGGTTTGTAACTCATTATTTTTAGGTTCAAGCAACATCTGGAGTAAATTCAGGTTTCCGGTTTGTTGGTAATGGAAATTCGGCTTACGACGAGGTTAAAACGGCCGCTGGTTGTAGCTATGGTGGACTTGTTTACGCATATGATAACTATGATATATACTGTTGGCAGCCTGGTCCAGGAAGCGGGACATCTAATGGTGCTTTGATTTGTATAGCAAATGGAATGGGAGGAGGAAAAAATGTTCAAGCCAGTAACGACGGCGTTATTGTAGCTCATTTATGGGATCTAGGTATATTACATTTTTAGATTTCATAGACAATTTATTTCTATGTAAATATAAAGTTTTTTTGCAAATCGCGTTATGCAAAAATTTTTATATTACCATATGCACTGTCTATCTAAAGAATCTCTTTCTATCGTAGGCCTTAAGATAATAAGATGCAACAAAACATTACATTTTTTGTTACCTTTCCTAAATAAAATTGTGTTAACATTTAACTTCCATCCGGCATTATAGTAAATTTACAATAACATATTGTGTATGTATATTTTGCATCATAGCAGAATAGTACTAAAACTGTTAAGTATAAAATGTGTTGTTTAAATATAATTGTTAATAAGAGTTTGAAAAAAAAATCTTCAATAAAGCATAAAAGGTATATGATACTATCAATTTCCTTTAGATTTTGCACAACAATTGTGAAGTAGACATGTATGTGCTTGTAATTATTTTGTTACAGCGTTAAGTAGAATATACTGTCAGCGAGATAAAGAAAGTAATGATTGACTCTTAGTTACTTGTAACTGAAATTAAAATGGTTCGTATGCACATAAATTTAATAGTATGATTTCTCATTGTTTCCATCAAATAAATATTGGAGATTTATTAAGAATGCAGGTAATAAAAGAAGATTGATATTAACGCTCCTTTCGCTCTCAAATCGGGCTACGAGTAGCACAAAAAATATGATTGTCAATTCATTTCTGAGTAAAATTAATTACTCTCCTTGTATACATTTATGTGCCCTAGCTGAACTAAAAATACATGTCGTAAAGCTTTAGGACCTAAGAGGACTTACTTTAAAGCATCACAATGAAATTAATATAAAATTACACATGTATTTAAAAAGAAAAAAAAAGAAATATTCCACACTTATTTAAGAAATAACACTTAAAAGTGATTTATTTTGTCACCACTGTGGCCCCTGTCATCAAATGCTCTAATATTTTGAAAAAATAATGTATTTTGTTGTAAAACAATTTATTAAACGTTTTAGCTGTTGCATTAAAATTCCTTTTGGGTATTATTATATTTAATCGATTTTAGTATGACTATCAGTTGATCAACAAAGGGGCATTTCAAAAAAATTATATGCGTCATCAGAACAGTAAGAATATTCAGCAGGTCTGTATTCATTGCTATTTTAAACGAAATGTTAGAAAACATTAACCAGACTTCACTGGGCCTTTTTTACATGATTGGACTAAAATATTTTTTAAAGCTTGATGTAGGTCTTACCCAATAAGTTTCTACTCACTACGTTTAATTTTCCAAACTAATCATTCAAATTGTGAAAAACGAACCAAAACTTCGGTCAGGCTAAAATAGCACAAATATACGATTTTCAATTAGTTTTATGTATGTTTATTAATTATCTTTTGCATATTTTTCTGTTTAAGTGTCACAGTTGATCTTTGTACGAAATTGAAACATTGTAATTTTAGGATTTTGGACCTCCTTTAATGGAGTTTTTTTAATGTAAATATGTACATACACAATATTTAGACTTTCTTTTTACCGAACATAGATTAAATTTATCCGATAAGAATGTGAGTTAACATTATAAATCAACGCGTTACTATCCAGCTTTATTACACGTTCAATGAAACTACACGGACATGTATGGAACGCCGTGACTGTCTTATGTTATTAATGTTTTTGCTATCTTGTGAAACGATGATATTATTTTGTCGTTTGAGCATGTTAACATGTGCAATTTACATCATGTCTTGTCAAAGGAACATGCTGACTTGTACAAACAGCATGTTAACTTGTCAAATTATTATGATGACATGTGCAGACAACATGCTAACTTGTCAAAGTATCGTGATGACTTGTGCAAACAACATGTTAACTTGTCAAAGTATAATGATGACTTGTGCAAATGACATGGTACCTTGTCAAAATGTAAGGATGACTTGTGCAAACGACATGTTAACTTGTCGAATTATTGTGATGACATGTGCAAACAGCATGTTAACTTGTTAAAGTGTCATGATGACTTGTGCAAACGCCATGTTAACTTGTCAAAGTTTAATGATGACTTGTGAAAACGACATGTTAACTTGTCGAATTATCGTGATGACATGTGAAAACAGCATGTTAACTTGTCAAAGTATCATGATGACTTGTGCAAACAGCATGTTAACATGTCAAATAACCATGATGACTTGTGAAGACAACATGTGAACTTGTCAAAGAATCGTGATGACTTGTGCAAATGACATGTTATCTTGTATCATACTGACATGTCAAAACGTACTGTTAACTTGTCATAGTATCATGATAACTTGTGCAAATACCATGCTAACATGTAAAAATTCCATGATGACATGTGTAAACAGCATGTTAACTTGTCGAATTATCGTTATGACATGTGCATACAGCATGTTAACTTGTCCAAGTGTCATGATATCTTGTGTAAACGACATGTTAACTTGTCCAAGTATAATGATGACTTGTGCAAATGCTATGCTAACTTGTCAAAATTTCATGATGATATGTGCAAACAGCATGTTAACTTGTCGAATTATCGTTATGACATGTGCATACAGCATGTTAACTTGTCCAAGTGTCATGATATCTTGTGCAAACGACATGTTAACTTGTCCAAATATAATGATGACTTGTGCAAATGCTATGCTAACTTGTCAAAATTTCATGATGACATGTGCAAACAGAATGTTTGTCAGATCATCGTAATAACATGTGCAAACAACATGCCATCTTGTCCAAGTATCATGGTGACTTGTGAAAGCGACATGTTAACTTGTCAACATTTCATGATGACATGTGCGAACAGCATGTTAATTTGTCAATGTATCATGATGACTTGTGCAAATGACATGTTAACTTGTCAATGTATCATGATGACTTGTGCAGACAACATGTTAATTTGTCGAAGAATCGTGATGACTTGTGCAAAACACATATTAAATTGTTTAGGTATTATGAGCATGTCATCACGATAATTCGACAAGTTAACACGCTGTTTGCACATGTCATCATGAAATCTTGACAAGTTAACATGTCGTTTGCACAAGTCATCATGATATTTTAACAAGTTAACATGTCGTTTGCACAAGTCATCATGATACTTTGAAAAGTTAACATGTTGTCTGCACATGTCATAATGATTATTTGACAAGTTAACATGCTGTTTGAACAAGTCAGCATTGTCTTTAGACAAGATATGATGTAAATTGCACATGATAATATGCTTAAATGACAAAATAATATCATCGTTTCACAAGATAGCAAAAACATTGATAACATAAGACAGTCAAGGCGTTCCATAAACATGAGTCACTGATTATCGCCAAACTGCGCGATCATAGTTACATGTTTTGTCATTTTGTGTCAACACTACGTGGATTATCTGAAATAGTTCCCTTGATAAATAGCAGTTGTTTAAATTGGAAATTCAGAAATTTATGGTTTTAATTCACGAATTAACGATTTCAACTTGATGAATTCACTTTTTCAACTTCATTCACTCATGTTTCAACAACTTCATGACCATGAACTCACTATTCACAGATCATTATCACTTTATTAATTTACGTTCATTGAATTTGTGACATTACATACATGAAGTGTTCTTGTGAATTCGTGAAGTTTAAATGTATTTTTTAAAGTTACAATCATGAATTTAATATTTTGAAATTGTGCATTTATAACGGTATAATAGTGAATTTACTAATTAAATGGGTTGAAATCTCACAATCATGATGTTGTAATCGTGACTTCGTGAGTTGTATTGATGAATTGATGAATGTATTAAGTTGCAATGTCCCTATCGGCCTTCCTGACTATTTTGCCTATACCACGTAACCGCGTATATATTGCACTTGAAATTATTAAATTGAATTTCAAAGTTTCCAATTATTTCGTTTAACATTTACCGCATTCGTGAAACAAGCAAACGACAAAGCAAGTTTGACGTCAATAATTGTGAACATTTACACTCAGTCGATTCGCTCACACATTTAGTTGTGCAAAACGTCTATTTTTTGTTTTCATTTTGTCAAACTATTACCTAGCCGTAATAGGTACCTATTTGTGCTAACTATATATAGCAATATCATCCTGCAAGTCTATGACGGTCCTGAGCAGACTTTCAACAAAATGTGCTGAATTTAGTAAGAAATAAAAAAAGATAATAACTTCAAGTAGTGCTGCTACTTAGAAAATGATAAAAGTGCCAGTATAACCTGATTGGATCGGCACACGTGTCAAACTATTTGAATAAATCTAGTTTATTAATTGTTCATAGATCTCCAACTATCATAAACATTTTGAAAAATCTAAAATATGTATAAACACTCTCTTATGTGTAATCTTGTATTTTCAAGGGCTAATATATAACTTTTTACTTCCTTGTCATTATGTTTTCAAACCTCAAAAAGTGTAAAGCTCTAGATTAAGACAACCCGTTTACTAAGTTGTTTTTACGTATTAACCGGCCATGAAAAAATACAAAACCGTTTTTGCGAAAGATAAGTACATGTAAGTAAGCATTTATCCAGAGTTTGGTCAATCTTTATGTCCTTACGAACTGACAAGACCCTAGACCGTAAGTTGATCGATTACTTTTAACAAAATAATCATAATCTCAAAAATTTTGTTAAGACAGCTTAAGTGCCAATCCAGACACAGAGTATATAATTTACTCATTCAACGAATTAAGTAGTTCAAGTTAATTTCGATAGTATAATTATATGAATATTAAAGGGGCCAGCTTATATTTTCTTCTCCGACTGTCGGTTCCAAGTAGAATTATTTTAGATACATTATAAGCATGTTTTGATTTGTGTTTTTTACGCTTTACGTAGCAAAGTTCTTTAATATTGACTCTTATTTATGCTGAAGACTTTTTTTTAAAATCATCCTTGGACGTTTTTGGTGCTGATCTATTATTAATCATATATATTTGATTTCCAAATTGTTAACAAATGTATCAAGGAAATCGGGTGACGAATTTCTCATGAATTCTGGTTCTTTTGACAATTTTATTAAATATGTTTGATTATCCTGAACAATTTACTATTTAAATATAAATGATCTCTGTATGATGACAAATTTATGAAAAGAAAACCGAGTTGTCCTCCATGCTGAAAAATGTATCAATTATTTGATCATTTTCCATGCACTATCCATTACAATATAATATTTGTTCGTTTACCATGCTAATCACTTTATTAAATATATTGAATCGTTAAATGCTGCTGAGATAAGGCTAATATATTTTATGAAACCAATTATTACTTTTTAAGATACTTTCAAGGACAATATATATTTTAGCAAAATGACAAGATTAGGAATGTCACAAAACATGTTACCGTTTATTTCAAACCCTGACATAAAGAACGAGGCGAAATATTTTTAATGCAGTGACACAATATAAAGCTTTGCGAGAGTTTTTATGTTATCTTGAGTAAGCCTAAGCAAATACCTCGTACCCGTGATTTATAGCTGTGCAGCTAAAGTACGATAATAAAATATACACTTTGCATTTTAATGAAATGATTGCATATTGGTTTTTTGATAGCGGCTTTAGACAATATAAGCGCTTTATACCCTTTGAACAATAAAAATGGATTTGTTTGTCAGTGTTTTAGTCTTTATCATTCAATATTTAGGTAAGATTAAATTAATCTTTTTCTGTTTTATAAAAAGATATCCACCGAGAAAACATGTATAAGCAATTAAGAAAAACATCAACGGAAGTCTAAACGTCATTTTTCAATATATTTCTCATTAGATTTTCTTGTTTTCCCAGTTTTACTGTAGTTGAGGTTATATTGGTATATATCCACTACAAACCTAATTCGATTTGATAATTTTAAAAATAATAACCCCAGTGAATTTTCTGTTTGTGTATTTTTTTTAAAAAAGGTATAGTCCTTGCAAATTTGATATATGGGTCATTGTATAAATGCGTAATGCAAACACAGTAAAGCTCTCAAATAGTTAATTTAGACAACGCGTTTACTAACTTTTATTTTACGTTTTAATCGGCGATGAAAAAATAAAAAAACAGTTGTTGAGAAAGATAAGTATATTAACATGTATCTAGAGTTTGGTCAATCTTTATGTACTCGCGAACTGACAAAAATCTATACAGCTTAAGTGCCAAACCAGACACAGAGTATATATTACTCATTCAATATGATATGGAAAACGAATAAGTAGTTCAAGCTTATTTCTATAGACTAAGTATAATACTATAAATATCAAAGAGGTCAGCTTATATTTTTTTTCAACTGTTGGTTTCAAGTAGTATTATTTTTTTAGAAACATTATTTGCATGTTTTGATTTGTGTTTCTACGCTTTACGTAGCAATGTAATTAAGATCTATTCCTTTACTTGTGATCATTTGTACAGTCATCATATTTATTTAAATATATTATCGCTATCCGTAAAGCCCCATTTTCAATAAAAATTATTGTCTCTTTTTTATGCTAACACTTTTTTCTTAAATCATCCTTGGACGTTTTCGAAAATCATTTGATTTCCATTTTGAAATCGGATGTTAATTTCATCTTGAATTCCGGTTCGTTTAACAGCCTTAAAATTTTATTAAATATATTTGATTATCCTGAACAAATTGATTTTTTTAATATCTTTTTATAATGACATTGTTTTTTCAAAAAGACTGAATTGTCTTCTATGCTGAATAATGTATTAACTATTGAATCATTTCCCATGCTTATCCCTTTATTACAATATGTTTGCCATGTTCATCACTATATTTAATATTGAATCATCGTTTATCGTTTTAAATGCTGATTAAATAAGGCTAATATATTTTATGAAACCAATTATTACTTTGTAAGATAAGTTCAGATCAATATACATGTATATATAAGTAAAATAAAAAGATAACAAATATCATAAAAAATATAAACGTTTATTTCATACTCTGACATAAAGAACGAAGCGAACTATTTTAATGCAGTGACAAAATATAAAGCTTTGCGAGATTTTTATGTTATCTTGAGTAAACCTAAGCAAATACCTCTTACCCGTGATTTATAGTTGTGAAGCTAAAGTACGATAATAAAACATACACTTTGCATTTTAATGAAATGATTGCATATTGGTGCTCTGATAGCGGCTTTGGACAATATAAACCCTTTATATCCTTTGAACAATAAAAATGGATTTGTTTGCCAGTGTTTTAGTCTTTATCATTCAATATTTAGGTAAGATTAAAAATTATCTTTTTCTGTTTTATAAAATTATATGTATAAAAAATAAAAAAAAACAGTCTTAGCGTGATTTTTCAATATATATTTCTAATTAGATTTTCTTATTTTCTCAGTTTTGCTGTCGTTATTGTTTTTATTGGTATATATCAACTACAAACCTAGTTCAATCTGATAATTTTTAGTGAATTTTCTGTTTGTTTATTTTTTTAAAAAAAAAAAAGGTTTAGTCCTTAAAGATTTGATATATGTTTCAATTTCATGTGACGCATACTTTATTTTTGTTTACCCTGGATGCTGTTTGTTTATTTTTACACAATACGCAAACATTATTTCTTATGTACATTAGACGCATAATTACTGTTTTAAACACGTGAAATACAGAAAAAAAATCACTATATAGAATATTGAATGTATAATAAGATAAATTTATTACAAGTCAATCATTCTTTATCCAGCTGATTGATCGGGTCATAGCTACATGTAATTGGTTTGGTCTATATTTCATTTGTTAGCTCTATTTAATATTTTTAAATACAGCAACAAACCGAACGAACTCTATCCATATAAATAATTTTATGAAAAAATCTCAAGAATGCTTTTATCAAGCCAGAAATAAAACGGAGTGTGGAAACCATTTTCGTCTGCATGCGATCAAGTTTGCTTAGGTATGTTAGTGTAAATAGAAAACAATAAATTGTGTCTTTTAAGGGGGTTGTTAAAATCATATCATCATTTATTGTTTAACGCATTTGCGTTAATATTGATATTCAATATGAATTCAGATTTGTTTATATATAAGTCAAGTGAATAAATTTGAATATTGTATATTGATCAGGATGAATTTTTCACAAATAAATCATTTATCTGTCACCCGGAGAGTACACCCGTGATATTTCAATTCTGAATAATTAAATTTAAGTATATTGATTTAACAGATCATGTACATTTCACAATTTAATGAGCAAATCGACATTTGATAATCCTATTTAAACTTTACGAGCGTTAGTGCGTAACTATAGATAACTGCAATGTTAATAAAACGTCATTATACTAGCTGGATTATCATTGCATAAATAAGTTCATTACATAATCCAAAACATACCGAACATTTAATCATAGTGTAAACATAACGCATAGTGCTCTATTGAAGGCCGATGAAAAACTTTAAGAATAATAACTATTAGCCATCAAGCTAAAGCATTTCAATTTGTATTTGCAACTTATATAATTTTACTTATTTATATAAAATAAGAGAGTTCTACATTTGTTTGAGAAATTGAAACTTCTACAGAAATACCAACAAGAAAGAAATTCTGTTGTATGACATATCTTTTTATTTAAACAAGTAGGTATAACTTTGTGCAAATCGTAATTAAATACGTTCAGTTTTGTCATTAGCTATAGGTTATTCTTCCACAACGACGACTATGCCATATTCAGCGGCAACATCACCAACTACAAATGCATCTACAAACTCAGTGTCATCGGGAATACAATCATCAACATCGTTTGTTAACTCTTCTTTAACATCCGTATTACCCACGGACGTCTCACCAACCTTTTCATCAACGACAGAAATATCTAAATCATTTTCATTATCAACGTCTTCTGAATCAAGTCCACAAAACACCTCCACATCACCTATACTATCGACAAATACATCATCACCGATAACACCAATAACACCTAAATCATCAACAGCATCGTCAACACCAACGACTACACTTGAAGCATCATCAACAGAGAGCAATGTGTCATTAACTCAATCAACAATTACAATATTTAATGATTCATCGGTATCACCAGATTTATCAACAAGCACTACGACTATACCTTATTTAACAACTGAGAACACGACAGCATATACAGAGTCATCAACGTCAACCTCGACCAGCACAAATTCGACAGAGACCACTATGATAATATCCAATTCACCTACCGAGATCACAACCACAACAACCGAGTTAACATCAGCAAGGACACTTTCAACTGATTCATCGACCACAGAAACAACATCAACCACACCTGAAGAGAACACTTCAACAGTTTCTTATTCATTAGCCGGAAACACTACATTATCGATCAAGTCAACAACTACATCATCAAAATCTTATTCATCAACCATGACAACAACATCACCAGAATCTACAGAGAACACTGAGACATGGACTTTCTCAAATACCGAAAACCCTTTATCATCAACCGAGTCAGCAACGAACACATTGAACGGATCATCGACAATATATATGACATCTTCTGAGTCATCTATGAACCCAACTGATTTAACAACAATAGAAACGACACAATCAACCGAGCCCACAACTACAATTTCGATCGATTCATCGACCTTAGAAACATCAACAGAATCTTCAGATAACACAACTTTAACACCACATTTTACAACAGAAACTTTTACAGAATCTTCAGAGAGCACAAATTCAACACCACCTTTTACAAAAGAAAATGCAACAGAATCTTCAGAGAACACGACATTAACACCGCCTTTTACAACAGAAACTGCGACAGAGTCGTCTACAACACCAATAGGTACTACAACATCAGCACTGACAACATCGACATCGACGGCGACAACTTCCCAAACAGTAACAACATCAACAACAACAACAACAATAACAACGACAACACAAACCTCAACAGAATCAACCAAAAGTCCCACGACATCAACACCCACTGAAACTTCGTCGATTTATATATCGACATCGCAATCGTCAACATCTACTACAGATTTAACACCAACATACTCAACAGAGTTAAGCACATCAACGACACATTCTTCGACGGCTGGTGACCTCACTTATTCTTCAACAGCAAGTACTTCAACAGAACAACGCACGACAATACCGACAAGTACCCGCTCGTCAACATCAATGATGACTTCGACTACGATAAAACCAGGTACATTATTTTTATAAAATTATCATAATATATTATCAAATTTTGCAATCAACAAGATTTTTAATCACTGTGTTACTTATTTTAACACTTTGTAAACAAATATCATAAGCAAGTTCTATTTAAGAAACGATTTTCGTATTAAAAAGTATTTCATCAAAAACATTACAGTAACTGTTATCTTTCGTTTAGACTGTGGCAGACCACCAGAGATTCCTTTTGGGGATGTTTATATAGAAGAAAACGGATCTGTCGCCAAATATGTTTGTCGTCCAGGATATAAAATATTTGGTAATGAATTCATTCATTGCAAGGCGAACGGTACATGGGGTACGTTGTCAACAGACCAAGCAATGTGTCTTCCAGTAGGTTCGTTCTTCTTTAGTCTTCAACCATTAGAATGGTCAGATACATCTCTTTATAAGGCAGCTGTCTAAATAACCTTAATATAAAACTTAACGTTCACTCGTTTTAATATTAACATATTACATATGTAATAACTTTTATGTTTTTGTCAAAAACACTTTTATTTTTGCACACGCTCGATTGTTATGAATATGTTCTATATTTTATATTTTTTTGTATTCTATTAAATATTAATAAATATTGAAGAATACGTTTTCATTTTTATGAACTTCATTATGAGATTATACCTTATAGATTGTTTTTGTCAACAACAATTTTATTTTTGCACACGCTCGATTGTTATGAATATGTTCTATATTTTATTTATTTGTATTCCATTTAATATAAATAAATATTGAAGAATAAAATTTCATTTTTATGAACTTCATTATGAGAGTATACCTTATAGATTGTGGTCCTCTTCGATTATCTATCAATAACAGTGAAAACACAACATACATTCCGAAGAATTCAACAAATTTTGGAAGCGTCGCCTTGATAAAATGCAAAGTTGGATATTCTTTTTCAAATGGAAACACGAGTGCCACATTTATATGTTCAGAAAAAGCAACCTGGAATGGCAATACATCAATAACATGCTTGCCTGTATGTAAGTAAAAACTTTAGGTTGATATTGTTTTCATTCAAATGAATGCGTGCATGGATTGTATGAAATAATTTATAAGATTTGGATCTACAAACTTACAAAACATATTTGTTAACAAAACCTCACGAGAGAATAAAATGTCAAAAGGCATGAGTATTCAAGAATTAACAGATAATGCCATAAGTACTAATGACACTTCTGGTAACTTTAAAGGGTAAAATGCTATATCTTATGACTTAGAAATATTTTTACCAAATTTCTCAAAAGTAAAAATATGCTGATCCCATAATGTTTATTGTCAGTTCTCGAAAGAGTTGTCACATAAGATGTCTCTGTTATTAAAGATCCTGTAACACAATCCTTTCATGGCTTTATTTCATAAATATGAAGCTCAAATTAAGATTTGTCAATATGGTAATTTACAATAATCATTATTTATAAAAAAATTACCCAATTAAACATTCCATGTAAAAAAGGGAGGTTATTAGAATTCAAGTCAAATTTTTCAATAAGAAATGATGCATGTAATTTATTGATTAAATATGCAAAATATTTGCATTACACATTTTACATATTCTTCGATGTTTGAAAATTGTTTTATTTGCATAATTATTTACATATATAATTTTTTGCAAGATATTGTTAACAATATCAATCACAAAACATACAGGATCTTAAAGCACACATGCATATTTACGTAAACAGAATAAAATGTCCCGGGATAAAATATTATTCTGCTATCTTAAGTAGGCTTTTATCCCTTTTGTAATAATTTTTTTTGTGCGCCATTTACTTTTAATGCAATTTATAACCATATTTATTTATACAAGCAATTTGGAAGCATTTTTTTGTAAAATTCTAACAACATTTTTGGAGCAAATTTATAGCTTTAAACAATCTACGCCTAATATAACTGGATTAAATCAAGAGTGAAAAGCACTCTTCTAAACTCTCATAATTTCGCTGGTCTGGTATCTAAATACAAACATAATCAATCATATTTTGCATGTCAATTAACAGTAAAAAATTAAAACGATACTGTTTTTTTGTTCAATATAATATTGTACGAAAATGTACATCACTATGTAAATATCTAAGTTTCGAATTGTTCTCGATTCTTTGACGTTGTTCGGCTTGTTTGAAATAATTTGAAAGAAAACGGCTGTTTGCTTATCAAACTCGGGCCACTTAGGGTTTGTTATTTAGCAAACACCCGTTTATATACGATTATATCATTTATTTAAAGAATTTCGTACTACATTATAGGTGTAATGCTTAAAATGGAAATTATTTGATAACTTGGCAACAGTTGTGTACATAGATACTACTTTTGTAACGAGGGTTAAAAACAATCGATGTTACAACCATGCTATATGATAACCATTTCAAATGCCAATGCATGAATATAATTATATGTATTTCAATCCTTTTGTTTATGCAATAGGATGAACATTTATTGCAACCGCGCGCGCTTAAATATTTTATAATTTGTCCAGTATAAAGATACTTACAACTTAATTTATACTCAGTATTTATGACAATTTATATATTTCAACATGTTTCTACCCTTATTTCATTTTCCAGACTGCAGACGCCCAAACGTCACGGGTCATCTTACAATTTTAGGTTCAAATACTTCATACAAAGTTGATTCAGTCATAGACTATTCTTGTCGAAGCGATTACATATTAGAAGGCTATCGTTCTCGCGTATGTCTGAAGTCTGGACAATGGAGTGGAAGTGCACCTAAATGCATAAAAGGTAAGTTAGTTCATATATGATGAACTCTGGATGAGCATGCTAAACCGAATTAGAATTTCAAATTCAATTTAACCAAACATGTATGCAGTTACAAAATCCATGATGATTCAATAAGTCACAAAGAGTTTCTTTTTCATTGCTGCAAAGACAAACTTCAGTCCAGTTACAAAGGTGTCAACTTGTGACCAGCGCAATACATGGATAAACATCTGATGCCTTTTTTCACGTCATCATATGACTTTAACCGTGTCGTGCATGTTACAAAAGCTTTACAAACTTACTGATAAACTGTTGGAGTTAATAAAAACAATCTACATGCAGAAAACAGTTTATCAATATATATATTGACGTATGGATTAGTTCCCTCTCTTTTTCATAACACTCAATTTCTAAAAAAAATACAGATGTAGCAGAATGAAATTCATACTTCAGCTCCAAGCAAAATAGCAAGTCCGTGTGAAAAAAACACAGACAGCCATGGACAGGTTTGGAATGCAACCAATCCAGGCGAAACACGAGTGTTCCCATGTTCCAAAATAAAGGAAGGTACGCATGTTCTTGAAACGATACAATAATTAAAATAAAATATAATTCTGAAATTCCTACTGAACGATATTTTCTGATAAAAAGTTGATAAGATTGAAATTAGTAGAACAATCACATATCTAAATAGTAGGACATTAAAAAATCCAACTAAACATGTTTTATGACCATGTCGTTATTAATTATTATTTTATTTTGTCGTTTTCACACATATATATATTTGATTATTATAGATTTGTCTAATTATGTAACGAGAAAGTGTTCAACAGAAGGGGAGTGGTTGTTACCTCATTACAACTGTATTAGAAAGGCGCTAGAGGAAATTACTGAAAGTGTAACTAATTCAGTTTATATTCTGTTTAGAAATTCTGTTTTAGTTGTAAAGACTTGATAAGACAATAGATTGAAGAAAATTATACTTACTATTTCGCATATTACCCAAACAATACATTCTATTTGATAAATGAATTAATGATAAACAATGAAAAGCAACGCGTTTTCCATCAGATCTAATTACTTAAATGTGAAAAAGTAGTTTAGTCAATTCTACATTGTATGATACATTTCGTTATTTAGGTAAATATTATAAAAGAAAAACCGACAACCGAGACTGTAGTAAGTGTACTTGGTCAACTATCGTCATTAACCAATCAAACAGAAAGCAACAAAACATATAGTGGTGAATTAGAAGCTGTAACGTTAACTCTAGGGGTCATTGCAAATATTAACTACACTAACATTACCATAAATGACAGTCTTTCTACGGTAATATTTGTGAAAGAATTATTTAATTTTTCTTAAATAAAATGTTTTGCTTAATAGAACTTGAAAAAACCTCCTCGGCCTTTCAGACCAACGTACATTTCAGTTTGCTTCCAATACAGAAGGAAACCAACAACAATAACAAATAAACAAGGCAATCTTGCAGATAATCCAGGCGTAACATATTTGTAAAATTATTATTATTATTATTATTATTATTATTATTATTATTATTATTATTAAAGTATATACTCGTATTTAACTCTTAACAGTTTTAGTCAGTTAGGCTTTATAGATTAAGACAAACTATGCCAGTTAACAATAAGTCGGTGCTAAAAATAGTGACACACATTATTAATTGCCCGCTTTTATTTCTAAGTATTGCTTGTTAGACAAACTTTGTATTACGCTTTGCCTCATTCTGGTTTATCATCAGGAAAGATATATCTCCGTACATTTCAGCAAGAAGGCCAAATTTCAGATATTCGTAAGGCACACATTGCTTGTTGAGCTTGTTGTACATTTGTTTCGTTCAAGGTTGAATATCATAACGGATTATTCCGATATTCATATATAAGTGCAGTTTGATGATACGTGGTTAAAATGGTATAAAGCCATATCCGAAGAATATTTTTATAAAATTTACAACCCGTAAAATATATGTTCTCCAAACACATATGATAATTTCTCGAAAGGGTTTGAATAAACAATGTTTCTGTTATTTTACACGCATGGAAACTCTACGTTGACGTATTCAAATGTTCCAAACAAAATATTATGATGTTAATTCAAATACATTTGTACTACGGTTTCACCCGTTCCGCAATGATTTTTTGCATGTGTCATTAGCTCAAAAGTACCAACATAGTTCATCCATACAGGCAATATATTCGAATTGTTATAACAAACATTTGTAATATGTAAGCAGCAGAGATATATTTTTTACACTTTTTTAAAAGCGTTAGCATCTTTGGTTAAATCAATACAGCTTCACAACTGCATTCGTGACAGAGGCTTTATCTGCTGGCTCTAATAATAATAATAATATAATAACCAAAATGTTTGTGGCGTTTTTATTCATTGACCAAAGCCTGCACTATTTTCGGTTTTTGTTATAAAGGACCTATCGGCTTCGATTTTTTACAATTTTAGTATCATTTAACACTTTTAGAAGTTATCAATAAATGAAGCTTTTAATGTAAATGCATGCTTGTTCGACAACAAAACGTGTTCAATTATCATTATTCACTAAATATATATACAGTCAATGTGTATTGCGATAACTGTGATCAGTATGACATATATTACAGTCCTTCTTTGAAACTACAAGTAACTTGTTAGATACAAGTAATACTGAGTCCTGGCAAGCAAGTGGTGACCAGTCGTCAACGTCGTCAGAGGTTTGTTCTGTTTTATTAAATTAAAACTTAAAACTAGGACAAATTCAAATGATTTATGAGATTTATTTTATAATCATTTATAATATTTCTTTCCTAAATAAAATAATAATTGATTCTGTGTTGAACATGGCAATTTTGCGTTTCATTCATCTTCTGTCTGAAAATAACTGGATTATAGACTTAACTGGCACTGTATGAAATATAATGTTACTTCGAAAATAAGAGCAGCATTGAGACTTTTTTAGAAACACGTTTTATTGTTTTGGACGTTCAAAATAGAATATAGAACGTGTGAGTAAAATGTCAAGGGGTTATAAATTTTACTGATTGCATCTTTATATGCATAAAAGCATACTGAAAATATTTTTATCTTGTTTTTGACGCCGATTTTAACACATGCTCAGGCTCATATTTAGCCGGGCGATTCAACTTGTTTTCCTGAATGATTAATCAGTAAATATGGAATATTAAAATGATGTAAAAGACGAAACTGATACAAATGTAATTTATGTTTTTTTAAATGATACAATTTTTGCAATTTTTATGTTTGTTTAATTTAACTTTCATCTGCAACTGCCAAAGTTTCTTGTTGTATCATGTACATTCTTGTATTTATATTTGTGAAAAAATGTAAAATAGTGACGTTCAAAATAGGATAGCGTTTGACCTAACTTCTGACAACAATTACTGTAGACACTGTAAACATATAATGTTTTGTATTGCTTTGCAAGTTATAAATTCGCATTCATATAATTAGGCACCATCTGGGGCGTCAAAAGTTTTAGACGTAATTAGTAATTTCACTGATGCTATTTCAAGATCATTTAGCCGTACTGGAGAAGTGAAGAACTTTTCAAAGACATTTGATAACTTAGGTAAGATACTATATTTTAATATATTTTCATATTTAGATGTTACATATTTATGTCTTGAGCATATTTTATGGTAAAACCTCTTGCTGACTTTGAACATTATGCAACTGGCATTCAATCTGGAACGAAATGTAGATATGGTATTCTTCATTAAACGTGTAATTTAGATGTTTTTCATATGACTTTTAAAAACATCAATCTGAATAGTGCTTATGATTTCCTTTTGAAAATGATCACGTGTATTTTTCTATATTCGAAAGTCGAAATGAAATTAAAGACATTTTGGATTTTTATATTTAGTTTTAGAAATAAAGAGCAGTGAGAATTTAACGAATATAAAGTTTCCACCTACTGGATCACAAAATGCTTCTTTGGATCTACCCGGAGCTTCTTTGACAGGTAAGACGTGAGTTTGAAACAAACAGGGCATTTTTGTCTATTATGATAATGTTTTACTGGTGTCGAAGTATGAATTTATTTTAAAAAAATAATTAAATCAATAAGATACCAATTACAAAAAAATGTTTGTTGGTTTTTGTAACGCTAACGTTTTTGATTTACTTAATTTGTTCTTTGTTTGAGTGCTTGAATTGAAGCCATACTGACACTGTGAAAGTCATTTGGCGACTTTTCAGCTTTACTGGTTGAAGAAGACCTCTGTTGCCCCTTCCTATATTTTTGTCAGGCATGAGCTGGCATCTGAGTGAGAAGAAATTATTAGATAGCTTTCTCATATAAAAGAATCCTAAGTTGCTGTCCGATCCGTTCGAGCACACAGCGTTAAGGGGTTATGAGAGACAAGTGATTTGAAAGTGGGTACTTTAACCGCTTTGTCACAGAGGCTCAAAGCATATCTTAAAATTGTGAAGGAGAAACTTGTATTGATATTGTCTACTTCATAGGATCAACGACGTATTCAGCCGTTTTATACAAAAACTTAAGTGGCATGATGTCAATAAATACAGCTTTTAGTGGGTAAGTACCATATCCACTAAGGTATAAATTTTTTTCTTCACGTATGCAACGGTGTTATTACTTTAGAAAACAATATTTCACATCAAACATCTTATCAATTAGGCAATGAAATAGAAATTGAAAAAAAGGAATTGACATTATTGATGTAAAAATCAACAAAAATGTTATTTTTTTTTTAAATTTTTTAGATATGCAAAATATTAACTGAATTTATCAACTAGAATTTATCGTTACAGAAATGACATAGAACTCGGCTCGTCAGTTATGTCAGTAAAGTTGGACAGATGGACAGAAGTTGAAGGCTTCAATATAACGCTAACATTCCAAAACTTTGGGGTATTTTAATAACAATACAAAAGAAATATTTAACAATTTATTAATTATATGCCAATTATTGATACAAAATGACAAACTTTACCTGCAAAATATTATTACATTTAATCTCGTATGTCTATGCATTTATACATCAATACACTATATTTAAGTGCTTGTTTAATTTGTTTAATTTAATTGCTATAATTTTCTTGCTAATTACGATGATTGAGTTCCAGAAATTTAGTTCTACATGTCAGACTCAAACGGATTGTTTGATGCATGAATTACCAAGATAATTCTTAATGTAACTATTTTGGCAATTATATACAATTGGGATGTTTTGTCATTTCTATAGAGCACTTTCATATTTCAGAACTGATGTGTTTAGAAAGAAAGAGCTACTAAATGCTAATTTATAGATACAACATGTATATATCATTACTTTTATTTCACAGTCATATGTCTTGCATTTACATATGATCTAAAAATACCAGCGATCTTATTGGTCCACGCCGTACTCAACAGAACAAACTATAAGCCATATACAGTGGTTGTAATATCATAAGAACTGGCTGAATTTGACTTTCTTGAACTAAAATAGAATCATACTCATATTTAATGATCAAACAACATACATGTAAAGTTAATTGTTGCATGCTGTAATATAATACATAAATGTTATATTGTTCGATTCAAAATAAAAGATAGAATAGACACCGCCATGATTAGTACTTCAATATTTCAATTATTCTTGCACAGTTTTCGCACAGCCATTTAACGCCTGACTTTATCTTTTTACGAGCGAAATATTTAGCGCTTCAGAATAAACAGTTCAAAGCTACTGTTTTGTTTATCCTGTTAGGTTTGTTATACGTGACCTTTTTTAAAAATTTAATGCTGATGATATAATAAAACCATTATTGACTAATGATCCAGTATTCACCGGTAGAATGTCGGCTGTGACTGTGTCATTCTGCCGATGAAAATCACATCATAATCAATGGATCCCTAGTCATTATCTGTATAGTTGTGATCTACTGAGGAAAACTTTCCTTCTGTTGCTGTGGTTTTGACCTTTATAAGTTGTATAAATGCATCTGATATAAAAGCATTAATAGTGATGCAGTAGCATTTCGATAAAATGGTAAACAATCAAAACGTAGGCAACTTATCCTTAATTATTTTTAAATCGTTGGATTAAAGGAACGTTTACAGTTGATCTTGTTTTAAAAGCATTAAAATTATATTATTTTTGCTCTTATGTATTAAATATATGAAAAAATGAAAAGAAAAGAGACTCTAACAATTGTAATAATTTATTTTACTTTTCAGACTGATCAACAGTTATCAGCAACATGTAGTTACCGCAATGCATCAAGGTATACAAACCTGATACAGATCTGTGAGAAAATCACTCTCAATCATTTGATATTTACAAACAATATAACCTCTGGCGCCCTTTCAAAAATCTATTTTATTAAGTTTCGACCATTGTCAATTCGTTTAGGATTCAGATAGTATTTTACTTTGGGAACAAGTGTCAATGCCACAAAATTGCAAGAACGTATCACATCGAAACACACATAATAACTACCGTATTAATACATAGTTATGCAGATGTTTGTAAATTCTAATTTACACATTTTTTTGTTATACTTTTGTTTTATTTTCTAATGTTCCGAATGTTCTTTAAAATGTTTAACAATTCTGCTTTAATCGGTGCTAGGCGGCGGTTAAGTTAGTCTGCAACATATACCATCTATGATCAAGCTCAAACTGAGCATGCAAAATTTTATCTTTTTAACTGATTTATTTAGTACCTTCTAAGACACAATGCTAAACATATAGAGAGTCAAACTGGCGGCTAAGGTCTCTGTCTCTTAATCCAGAGATCGTGAAACTAAAACAAACAGTTTAAAATGAACATATTTTTTCAAAGATTTATCTCGATTCACAGCGTGTTATGGGGGAAAGATGGGTGTACAGTGAAGCGTTCGGATGATAACGAAACTGTTTGTGAATGTGATCATTTAACCAATTTTGCGATCTTAATGAGTCCATGGACAAAGGTAAGGTGAAAACTCTCATATGATATAATATATTTTTAGAAACAACAACATTAAATCATATTATTTTATATACAGGAGATCTTGTTTTTCCGCGAATAACTTCGTTCAAAGTTATCGTGATTTAATATGTTTGTAGCAAGAAATTGCAAAACTTGTCTTATTATAAATGAGTAATACTTTCGACTTGAATATGACAATGACGCGAATCTAAAATACGCGAACAAAATACTACATTTTAACAACGCGAATTTAAAGTGTTCTGCAGTAGTGCTGCTTCAGATAAGCTTCAATTTAAACTAATCAAATGTTTTTGTATGAGTGCGCGCAAATTCCAAATAACTATAAAAACAACCTTTGTTCTGATAAATTCTTCAGGGATCTTTTTATGTCCATCTGCAAACTGGTTTCATTTTAGATAGAACTCAAATTTAAAATGCTCGTAAGATGAAGTCTTGTCCTGGATTCCCGCTTTTCCGTTTTTGTTTAAATGAAATAATTATTGTTTCTAATAAAATAATAGAACTCCTCCTATAAATTAAAACACACAATATTGGATAGAAGACCCCTATTGATTTTGGTGTCACAAGGTCAAAAATCAAGGTCACTATGACCCTAAAACTGAAAACAGTTTCCGGAGCATAACTTAAATCCCATTTTGCCCACAGTGTTCAAACTTCATAGGATGATTGACCATTTTAAGTGGAAGACCTCTATTGATTTTGGGGTCACAAGGTCAAAGGTTAATGTCACTATTACCATGAAACTGAAAACAGTTGCCGGAGCATAACTTAAGTTCCATTTGGCCCACAGTGTTCAATCTTCATAGGATGATTGTCTATATTGGGTAGAAGACCCTTATGATTTTGAGGTCACAAGGTCAAAGGTCAAGGTCACTATTAATTTAAAACTGAAAAAAGTTTCCGGAGCATAGCTTAAGTTCCATTTGGCCAACAGTGTTCAATCTTCATAGGATGATTGTCCATATTGGGTAAAAATAAACCTATTGATTTGGGGTCACAAGGTCAAAGGTCAAGGTCACTATTACCTTAAAACTGAAAACAGTTTTCGGAACATAACTTAAGTTTCATTTTGCCCACAGTGTTCAAAGTTCATAGGATGATTGTCCATATTGGGTAAAAGACCCATATTGATTTTGGGGTCACAAAGTCAAAGGTCATGGTCATTATTACTTTTTAACTGAAAACAGTTTACTTGGCATAACTTGAGTTTCATTTGGTCCACAATATTCAAACTTCATAGGATGATTGAACATATTGAGTAGAAGACCCCTATTGATTTTGGGGTCACAAGGTCACTATTACCTTAAAACTGAAAACAGTTTCCGGGGCATAACTTAAGATCCATTTGGACCACATTATTCAAACTTAATAGGAGGATTGATATTTGAAGGAGGTAATACTTTATTTAATTCAAATGTCTTACAAATGCTTCATCTTTATTAAAAAAATCACTTTCGGGCATGTAATGCTCCGCCTAGCGGTGCTCTTATTGTATTATGGTGACCTTGAGTTCGAATGCTATACAACTGGTTTTTCCTAACGTACTTACATCTTTCTTTAATCACAATTTTCATAACAGTTATATAAAAGATCTGGCTACTGGATGAAAAATATGTGTAACAGATTGATATTTTAAGATATCAATAATGCATTCTTTTTTTTATCGAATTGGTAGGAGAATGTGGAAACGGAAGCAATACGTATCATATCAATCGTAGGCTGTTCCATATCCATGTTGTGTTTGATAATAACGATGCTTACACATATATGCTACTGGAAGTAAGTATGGGCGACACAACACATTTAAAGTACTTATCAGTTTAGATAAAGTACTTCATTCATTTTTGCTAAGAAAAACTTACACATTTTGAATAAAGAGACATTAAATTTAGATCATTTCACTTGCAAATTTGACATTTGTGTGATTGGTAGAAATTGCTAACTAACAGATCTAAGAAATGATATAAATTTTATATCATTAATCTCCGACCGTTTACTTACATAAAGTAAATCATACTGAATACTTGGATAGTTGTACTTAATTTAACATTTCTTTATGGATTCTGATAAAAAAATCTATTCTCTTAGTTGTTTCAAAATGAAACAATTGTATCATCATAAGTTCTTGTCAATGAGCTTTTCCTTTATCATTCGAGAAAGTATCATGGCATCCCTTGAACTCATTAGAGTGTATGGTATTTGTTGTTGTGTTTTTACATGCATTCAGGTTTGTTAAATCCGATCGTGTGAAGATACTGATGAACCTTTGCTTTGCTTTGCTGATTTCGTACGGCCTATTTCTCGGCGGTGTTGATAGAACAGCAAATGAGGTGAGTTCACCGAACGCATTTATGTCATAGTATCAACTAGCTTAGCACAAGCTGTTATGTCGACGTTATATCTTGTTGTGTTAGATAAAAAATGAGCTTCTATTAGCATTTGCTTATCAATATTAGAGAAAATTGTTGCCCACAAACTGTTAAACAATGAGAATGAAGAACAATAAGTGGCGCAGACAAGCTAGAATTTCACTGTATATGAATGACTAACAGGTAGGATACACAATGCGTGGACATTTCAATTTCAAAACTAACGACAGCTAAACTTTTGAAATATGAACCCTAAACCGTACACATGAGGAGGGACTAGGGAAAAAAAGTCATTTATGGGTATCATTAATGGAAATAAATGTTCATCGAAAACAAGAGAAAAAAACCAACGCTTTAAGATGACATTAAGTATTTATCATAACATATGTGTTTTTCAGAATGTCTGCACAACAATTGCGGTATTGCTACAGTACATTTATCTCGTGGTCTTTTTTCTAATGTTGGCAGAGGCTGTAGAAATAGCATTTGTTGTTCTATACGTGTTCACTACTGAATCCAGACTAAAATGGATACTTCCATTAGCTTGGTGTATGTCTTTAGTAATATTTAGTCCAGTTCTTGTTTCTCTCAAAATATTCACAAGAAAGCTTTTTCAAATGCTGATGTTTTTTTATTTGTCACAGCTTTCTCTTTATACAATTTAAATCATTACAAGCGATGTTTATCTATTTTCTATTCTATGGTCTATTCTTAAGTAAAAGTTTATCTTGTAAGAGTAATGGCAGAATTTAGGAAACAATGATTACATTGTTTCTTTTTAAGTTAATGAATTTTAGAATATTGCAATGCTTTGGTTTCATCTTTTTTCTCGTAGTTAGTTTTTTTTCCACATTTCCTTTTCAGTACTGCCAGCTGTAATAGTTGGCATATCTTTAGCGGTTACTCAGACAAAGGGCTATGGAAACGATAAATCGTATGTATTTCCTATTGAATAAACAATATTGCATTGCATTTATGATAACGTAAATCCTACGTTGGTTGAATTGGTTCAGAGAAATGAAGTCTTCACCAATTTCATTGTTTTTAACTTTTAAAATCCATTGCAAGCATTTAAAAAAATTATAGCATCGGCTTAGTGATTTTCTATAATATCTCAGCTTGTATTGACTCCAATTATCTTTCACATTTCAGATGCTGGCTTTCAGTTGATGATGGACTCATATGGGCTTTCGTAGGACCGGCCCTTTTGATTATTTTGGTATGTTGTTACTACACCTAATATTACATTATTTTATCATTGTGACATATTGTTTTCCCCAGCTAGACTAGTATATATATATGTATTTATGTTGTGACTGGCATGAATACATGTAAAAATAAATTGATTTATTTTCATCCATTATATTTTCCTACAGTTCATTTTAGTCGTGAAACTAGAAAATGGACACTTATAATACTTATTCTTATCATCTTTTATTACATGACTTTACTTTTTTACTATTTCATTTCCAGTTTCTTTATTTTACAAACATGTATTATTAAATCACTCTGTCTTTTCTGAAGCATTTGTTTGTAAGTGAAAACGGAATGTTTCGCTTAAATTTAGTGATGTGATAAATAGAGTCTGACATTTATTGTCATTTAATATGAACTTCTATAAGACTCGTAGAAAAGGGTCATTTTATTATGCACTCAGTTTTATAAATGTGTAAGTTAAATTCAAGTATCAACAACTCAAATAACGAATCCTATATACCTGGTTTATAAACACCAATAAGTTAAAGAAATATAGTTGTTGTTCTTGTTTTCCCAGTTGTTTTTTTTATTTTAGATGTTTGCTTTTTATTTTGTCTTCAGGTGAATTTTATTCTGATAGTGCTTGTGTTAAAAGCCATTTTCAAGACGAAAAATTTATCACAGAAATCTCTGAAGGAAAGGACCATGTAAGTATTTGTTTGAAACATTTTTATTCTCTTTCTTAACTTACATAATTATAGTAGCTGAAAATATTTATATGTTGCCATTTTATCACTTTTCATTATTGGATTTCTTAGCATGAAATTCTTCCGTGAAGTCTAGAATTGAAAAAGTTGTTGGACATATATCCGATATTTACAAAAATACGTATGTTCCACATAATTTAGACCAAATATAACGTGTCTTTGTCATTAATTTAATATGTATCTCTGACATTATTAAGTCAAATATTAATATCATATCTGTGACTTTTTTACGATCAAATATTTGTATTTCCGACATCATAAACAACAAACATAACGTATATCTAACGACACGGTGAAGTCAATAACTTCGTATCCCCCATATTATTGTGATCAAACATAATGATGTCTAACACTATTAAAATCGAACATAGGTATCTTCGAAATTATTCAAATAAAAATAAGTATCCTTGGTTTTATTAAGATCAAACATAACGTGTCTCTGACATTATTATGTTCGGATGATTTTCATATTGCCATATATTTCAGAGCTGGTATTCGTTGTCTTTGTGTATTACTTCCTCTTGTTGGCTGTACTTGGGTTATAGGTATATTTTATGTAAAAGAAGACTTGGCGTGGATACAGTATGTTTTTGCAGTCTGTAATGGACTTCAGGTACGCCAGGGTGTTGTTTTCTTCGCATTGAGTGGAAGCTCGGTTTTATGTATAAAACACCCTGTCTTTCTTATCATAAAACATTTTATAAACTGAAAAAATTAGTAAAACATATTAAAAAACTAACAAATTTATCATGGAATTACAATGTAATCACGAAACGCAATTATAAGCTTCTTAATTTTTAAACACCCAAACATGCATTGCTCTGTTTATTAATTTCTCTAAATATCGTGTTAAAGAAAAAAAAACAAACATAAAAGCACACATAAATTTGGCCGCTGTCTCCTCTAGTTATATTTCATTCTTAAATTTTTAAATTTTGAAATCAATTCCTTTTATAGGTATTCATTTGATATTTGATATTTTACGTTTCAGGGTTTGGCGATATTCATTTTCCACTGCTTACTTAACACGCAGGTAGAGTACAATATGATCTTATACTTAAACATTGTCTATTTACTAAAATTAATTCTGAAATAAATATTTTGTTATATTTGCTTTTCCAGATAAAATTCAAAATTAGTATTGACTTAAATTGAAAATATCTTTATACATTTCAGATAAAGCATGCTTACCAAAGAAAGAAGAGAAACGCAAGTTCTGGTCTGTTCACACGGTCAACTTCAAATCCAATCCTCATTGTAAGCGTTTTTTCTTATATACAACAGAAGGAGAGAGCGATTGACCATTTTATTTCCATTCATGTCATTAAAACTCATTTTGCTTGCTTGAGTGTGTTAATGACTTTATTGACTAAGAAATTATTGTATCAAGAGTATACAAAATAAATATACAACTGAATAAAATAAATGCTAAGCTTGCTGATTGTATTTTGTTTCTTGGTTTTAATCTTGGATATATGTTGCAGCCGAGGGCAAAGTCCAACTCATCAACACAAGAATTATACAACATGTACAACAGTATCAATGATAGTTATGGAGCAGAGAGTATGTTCAATTTATTGTTTATCTAATTTCAAATCATCAACTTATTTTTTTCTTCAAATTATCAATTCCTTTCTCTTACCTTAAAATATAATCTTACTGTAGTGTCGCTATGTAGAATCATAGTGTTCTCCTCACTTTAAGCTATAAAAATCATTCATTGAATAAGTGCTTCCATTAAGTTAAGCCACCAGTAATGTTTCATTTTGCAAAACCTACAAATTTGATTTGCAAGTACAAATTTCGAAGTAATAGATCTAGCATTCATTCGTATATCAGCCAAATAAATATCCTTGTTAAAAAGGAAACATTCCTCAATTATTGATCTTTATTTAGCTGATTAATCACATTTTAGTACAAATCGGCTATTTTTCAAGTTTTATTAGCTCGTAAGCGGAAGTGTAAACGGACCATGGAGTGTACGTTGCTAGTATAGAATCAAACGTTATGAGTACAATACATCATCATAAATCTGTTTGTAATTGTTATTTTAGCAACTTATCACCTAGACAGGGATGTTCGTGAAAGGCGTCCAGGGCCTGAAAGAATTGAAATGGTAAGGCTTTAAGTTATTAAATATAAAATGATATATTATTTAGTTGTCTGCCATCTAAATTTTGAAGCAGTGTAATTCTGACACTTTAAGAGGCTATTGTATTTTTCTTAAAATTTAATCAAATTGTCAGGGCCAATTTAATAACCTTTAAAACGAGTAAAAACAAGCAGTCAAATTCCAAAAAGAAAATGTCCTTGCATTACAAAATACTTTCAAATCGGGAGTTTTGACATTCGTATGATTCAGATCATGCAAAAGAATAGGAGAGGTCGTGATATCGTTCCTCCTGAAGTTCTTAGATATTCTAATTATTACTAAACAATACAAATACAGTATATGATGTCAATTGTAATAATTTTATTTTATTATTCCTAATATGATTCCTTATAATTTACAAAGCGTTACATTACTGTTTGTTAATATATTTTACATTTTCTTAAAAAACACAATTTTGTTTTAATTTGCTTTAACATTTATCCGTTCATCAACTGTCTTATTTTCAGACTTACGCGCAATTTTATCTTTTTGAATAGATCCAATTCGTGCCTATCTTTGCACTTTCTGATACATTTGGTATGTAAAGATTTCAATTATCTTAGTAGCTATACATTTTATTTTTATATCCTTCTAGAAACATTATTCAGACAGACGTTACCAGTTTGATGAATGGTGACCTTGAAATATATGACTGTCGATAACTGCGGTGCATGGTGATACTAATGAACTCTTGAATAATCTTATAATTGGATTGGCGATTAAGTCAATCATTGTCTAAGATTGATTACATATCAACATATTTTCGACATTTTCAGGACATATGATTCCGTGATATATTGTCTGAACTGTGAAGAAAACGTGAAATTTTATTCTTGTTGTCATTATATAATAACTCTAAAGTAGTTTTATTTAGTGTTTACGTCATTTTGAATACGTGTGTCTGTTGTAATTATGCAGAATAAAGAAAACATGAAACAATTGTTATTTCAAGTAATATCAAGTCATTTTGGAAATAATTATCCGTAGGCAAACAAGTCTTACCAGCGGACATAGAACGTGTAAATGCACTTATAGGGAAGATGCTTAAATGTTCAAGAATAAAAAACTTGTGCATGGAAATGAAATCAAGAACCAACTAGAAATTACAATTGTTATTGCACCATACAAGATATTATGTATGATGCACTTATAGGGAAAATGCTTAAATGTTTACGAATAAAAGACCTGTGCATGGAAATCAAATCAAGGAACAATTAACAATTACAATGGTTATTGCACCATACAAGGTATTACGTATGAAACATGAAGCTCACCTTATTCTAGGGCGCAGTACCTAATATTATTTCACACCCCATAAAATGTTATCAATAAACGTCCAGGGTTTGCACCGTGTGACATAATAAAACGCATGATATGATTCAATCTAACCAATTTAGCCTTGTTTTCAATTTGACAGTCATAACATTTCATATAACATCACTTTTTTCCTCACTGTAGCTTCGTTTTTTTTTTCTCAAGTAAAATAATAAATGGATATAAAATAATTTTAGTTCTGCGTCATGCCTCATTTTCTTTCCAGAGTCCTTAACACGTATATCAGATCATTTTTGTAAACAAGTAACAAAGTTCTATTAACATGCCAAACATTAATATGGTGGTGTGAAATAGAAATGCCATTATATATATTGTTGTGTACAATACTGATTCTGTTGGATTCTTACACAGTTCAAAAATCAATAGTTTGACAGTTGTGTATTTGTCGAACAATATTTCAGTATTGTACCTAACAATAAATAATATCCTGAAGTTTCTTAATAACCTCTTAATATAATATACTTTACTTTGTTCATGCCATATGTGGATCAAAAAGTGTGCATGACAATAAACTAAATGTATACATGTAATAAGACTATAATCACAAGTTATAAGACATTGTTTCAAAATAACTTGATGCATTGTGATCGCGATTTGACACTATACGTTTTACAAAATATTGATTGTAAAATGTTAAATGTGTCATCGTGTAATAAATGCAGTGATTGACATTGATTTAGCTAGTTACGATAAACAATTAAGGAACTTGTTCCGAACATTTTATTTTAAATAAACGTACGTAATTTTGCTATTGAAATCATTCGCTTTTCAGACCGGATTCGACAAAGGTTGCTTATTTGCTTATAACATAGTATAAATAGTCAACGAGCTTATCTCCCTTTGATTTGCAAAATATGCCAGATTTGCTGATAGCCATGTTCCAAATGAGGTTGTTTAAAACACACTATTTTTAATTAATGTGATTTTGAGTAAATTTTTCTTGACGTTTTAAGTTTTCTTTGTCCAAAGGCTGTTACAATCTTTGTGTTTTTCTTTTTCGCTTGGGTGGTTAAGTGCCACCGGGTGAATGCCGGCAGAGCCCAGGTGAATGACGGCAGAGACCCAGAGGATGCCGCAGAGCCCTAGAGGAATACGATGGAGCTACGGTTGATCCCGGTAGAGCCGCGGCAAAGCCTTGTTAATTTCAAAAGGATCACGGCAATTTGCGATGATTGCACTTGTTTGTATTAAACGTCCAGTCTTGCATAAGGATTATTCAGAAAATAATCATGAATAATGTTCTAGAACAAAAGATATTATATACCTGGGCTTTGCCGGGATCGTCTTTGGCTCTGACGGGGCTCTGCTTGGATCGACAGGGATTCTCAATCGAGAACGACCGGGGAACCACTGGCGTGAACAGTAGCTTCAATTGGGCTCTGCCTAGATGGTCCGGAGCGCATCCTGGATGGTTAGTTTGGATTACCGTAGAGCTATCGGGGTAAGTGTGACCCAAAACATAACTTGTTTTCGCTTGGCGGGGTCGAGGGGCGAAACACGAATGGCACAAATCAGGCACACGGTAAAACATGTTTCTATTTTCTACTGATTTACAGGTGTCCTGCATACAGCTTAAGTCAATGCTTTTAAACTAATATTGAAAAATCTGGTCCCAAAATACCGAGTGTTAAGTTTTCATATTGGCTCAGTATATTTAAGTTATCCTTGAAGAAATTATAAAAAGAAAGCATGATGATATTATTTAAGATTGACACTGTATAAAACATTCATATGTAATCCTAAGACAGATGATTTATTGCAAGATTAGCATAGCAAAGTTTTGATTAATCTGTAAATGCTTTCAAGAATGTCATATTTTGACATTTGGCAAGAGCTTATGTCGCAGCTGTTACATGTTGTGCATAAACATCATCGTTTATATGCATTAATTTATATGCTCGTAGATACTTGTTTGTTAGAGTACAATATAGACTTGATATGAATATTGTACCCGATAAATCAAAACAAGTTTTCACGGAGAACAATATGGGTGACTAACAGTCTTAATCAACACGAGCCTGCAACATTGTCAAATTTGCTTTTTTGTTCGTTCTTTGAATATTTTGTTTTTTAGATATTTTATAAGAACATAATTACACATTTTATGGAAAAGATCTAAAAATTTTATATTCAAATGTACATTCAAAGAGCTTACATCTAACCACAACATTTAACTCTATTTGGAAAAATTACCTTTCCTAGAGAGTGATTGATTTAAGTATTGTTTTACTTGTTTTACAAGGTAGTCGTTTTGTCGTAAAATGTTTGTAAATGATGTGTATGTACATTTTATTGAATATTAAAAAAAGTTTAAAGTAAGCATATTACATATGAATTACAAATTAGAACAGAATAATATCTGTATTCTTATTTCGCGTTGCTTTGAGACAAAGAAAAACTTTTGAAAGAGGCATATTACATATAAATTACAAATTAGAATAGAATAAAAACTGATTGTACAAAACTGAAAACAAAAAAAAAAAAAACAAAAAAAAAAACGTTAGAATTCGCTTGTTTTTATCTTCGAGTGTTTACCTCATCCATCGGTCGTTGCTGTGAAAAATTTACTGTACGGAAAACCATAAAGGTTTTCTTAATTTTGATATACCGTGGGTAGCTTATAAATACAATTACGGGTACTCTGTGCCCTATCTTGTCAAAATCAGTTTGGTAACAGCAAAAGTATTGATTAACAATAAAAATCTTTTAAAAGATACTCTGTCGATGTAAACATGATTTCACTTGCATATGCGAATTTGTAATGTTAATATTTGTAAGATGTTTAATGGGAGGAAGAACGGTTCTCATGTCTCAAATATTCGAAAAATTTAACTAGAAAAATGTTCCGGAATCACCGTACATAATTTGAGAATTTAGACGTATATACGTTTCCGAAAGATCCTTTATATTGTTTAACTAATTTTAAAATTGCTTATGACATTACTTGATTTAAGTTTGTAATTTTAGAGGGATCAATGGAAATCCTAGCCATATGCAGTTCTTCCCTGTACAGTTTACAGGAAGTGATCTCTGACGGGCTTCGTCCGAAAAAAAAACATACCTGAATGGGGCAAAAAATTGTCATGTGGTATCTTCGCACTGAGTAATATTGATAGATAAAAATCGCAAAATAAAACGTGTACCAACTTTTTGAACAGCCCTCGATTATATTTGTCGTTCAGCATGAACTAATTACATGAGCAGAGAAGTAGACACACATTGTTCGAACAAGAGAGGAGTTATAAATAAAGTGTTTGTTCAAATAGCGTAATATACAGTTGGTTGATAGTTCGTCGTGATATTATGATTTTAATAACTAAAGATTAAATAATAAACGATATAAAACAAAACAATTTTTAATATTTGTTTTTTTTTTATGAAATACCTTTGTTGCTTAAATATATATATCATAATTTTTAGTATTTTTTAAAGCAAGAAAAATAAAAAAAGGAAATTATTTTTATTTTCTATTGTTGCTCTTTTTTTTTGTAATGATATGCATGATTTTCATTTTAACAATAAAAAAGAAGTAATATTATATACATATTATATGGTAAGAAATAACAAAAGAATAAATAACAATATTACAAGTTATAAACCTTTGTCAATTACAGTCCATCAAAAAAAATCAAATGAAAACTGTTTTGTCATTGCTGTTTGGTTTTACAAGCCTGCTGGTAGGAATTAATGCTAAATGTAAAATTATCTGTATTATGCAAAATTATTTTTAAACCGAAACAAGTCAGAGAAATAAAAAATCAATAATATTAATAAATAAGTTTTTTTTTATTTTCCTATGTAAATAATTTTACGAATGTGTTAAATCAGTTACATTGATAATGCATATATCTTAAGGTATAATTTGGAATAGATTTGGTATGTTATTTGATGCTTATTTTTATGAAAGAATAAGATTCGATTCAAACTTTGTTTACTTCTTTGCCTGATAGAAGCAATTTATCTAACCCATGTGACCAGTGGAGCCCCTAATCAACTCACATCCGTGACTTCTGGTTATGGTCTTCACTGTACGCTATTAATTTAATGCATATAATACATATCTTTAACATTTCGCTTGAAAATGTGAATTTGTCAGGATTGTTACATGGGCAAGCCCAATTAAGATATCTATGTTAACGGTTTATGTTTTACATAACTTAATACCATTTTACGAACGAATTCAAAGACCCTGGCAGATTCGAACCTACAGCAGCATGGGGCACATTGTTGGAAGTCATCGATCTTAATCACTAGGCTACAGAGCCAAACTGTTTGCTTTCAGCATGCTGCGATGACGGCTGGATAGCATATAAGAAGCATTGTTACCACATCGGTTATGGCAAGCGCCTTAAATTTTCTGATGCACAAGTAAGTGTATTTAATAAATTTTATCGTTTATAAAAACAAGTAACAATACAGTTAAATCTATATTTAGCACATTTTAGTAATGCATGTAGGTACACATTTCTAATTTAAGAACTTATTTTTTCAAATCTGAAACCAGTGTCACTCTTGTTCAAAAATTATAATTCTTGTTGATTGATATTTATGATCAACAGTTTCACAATCATTTTGCTCGATCCATGGTTTTGGGTGTTTAATTTTCAAACTTTTCAAGTTCCGAGATTTACCCAGGTAAGGCTAATATGCAGAATTTTAGAAATATATTTAAAATTACAAAGAAATTAATCATATTCTGATTTTAAAATGCTTGTTTGTTATATTAGGACTACTGTCAACATCTCAGTGCTTACCTCGTCCGGGTCGAGACTTTAGCTGAAAACGATTTCCTAAAAGATTTACTGAGCACAACTCAAGGTGAAAATCATATTTCCTCCAAACATTTGTTAAAAGCCAGGTTGCTTTTGTATGAATGTAACTGTGAAAACTTATAACCGATTGACATTTGCTATTATTACCCCTCACTTTTTTTGTAAAAGTAATTTCCTATAGGCCTCTGGGAGTTATTCTTACTGGTAATGCAAGTGTACCACGTGACTAAGAATTTTGTACTGTTACATAGGTAACAGTAGTTTTAACAGTATAAAATCTGGTCACGTGGTCTATTTTCTAAATAAAATGAAATAAAATGGCTGCCATTTTTTTCTCGATTTATTCTTATTTGCGACGATAGTTCATCACCGAAGTAACTATTACTCTCATAAAATTTAGTTCTTTGCACCCTAGAGTTCATTTCGCTTATAAAATATCTTTTTGTTGAACAGTCAAAAGGAAACATCCGTTTTCAACGGAAGTAATTGTAATGTGATTAATTTTGTGTCAAACTGGAACATGCAGACGATTAAAGCATGAACAAAGAATTATTTAACAATTTCAACCAGTGAAACGTTACAAATAGAGTTGGTGGACAGACATCTGTAGGATATCTTTGTTATTTTCTAAATGCACTTTGTCAAAAACCATGCTAAGAATATTCTAGATACAGAAGGATCAGATTTCACAGATCATAACCTTATAAATGGGTTAGTGTTTTGTTTTCTGAATAAAACACAGCTTATTTTATGTTAATGACTGGTAGATAAAAAGAGAATAAAAGAAAAACAGTTCCTCAAGTAGGCCTATAGTTCACTTAAAACTTGAAAAGTACGGACAGTTTAGTTATTGCTTCTCTTGGTTTTTTTTGGTTAAAAGTAGATTTAGTTGAAAAATTCAGATCATGCCAGTGTTTGTTCGGGGTAATAAAATAAATAACATATGGGTTTGTTAGTTACAGTAAAAATATCACCCCTCGTAAAAATACTGTTACCCTCGGCTACACCTCGGGTAACAGTATTTTCCTTGGGATGATATTTTAACTGTTACCCACAAACCCATGTGTTATTTAAATACTGCAACTCACAATCGTACGTATGTCTTTTTATTTCATTACTCTGAGCTACAGGTTTTATAATTTTCAGATTTTTACTGTGAAAAAAAAGAATGTTACCTAGGTACATGACGTTGGTGATGTTTTTTTTTAATTTATTACCCTGAGCAAATACTTCATTCAGACACTGTTTTTATAGGCTTTATAATTTTCAGATTTTTACTGTGAAAAATTACTGTTATCTAGGTAACAGTAAAAATGTTGTAGTCACATGGTACACTAGAATTAATAATAAGAAGAACTCCTATTGATTATGAGAATGAACATTACAAAACTAGTCTGGGGTAATGAAGTAAGTTATAAGGCTTGAATTAAAAGTTTGATTAGAATTTGTTGTTACAATAATGAACTGTATCGTTTATTTAGACAAGTCGACAAAGTCTCTACAAAGAAGTAGATATAAATAAAAACCATTTTACTATTAACCTATTTATAATAAAATAAAGTTTTAATTGTGTGCTTAATTTTAAGCTGGTAATGCGTGGATTGGACTGACTGACCAGGAGCATGAAGGTATTTGGAAATGGATTGACACAGACATTCCGGCAACATTCTCGGATTGGGGTCCAGGAGAGCCTAATAATTATCAAGGTCAAAATGAAGAGTGTGTGTATTTCTATAGTTTTAAAGACTATATGTGGAATGATGGCATGTGTCACCACAAGGCTGTACCTTTGTGTGAAAAAGACTAACTTGCGTTCAGTCACATATCATATGGTACAAACAAAAAATTGTTGGAAAATTCTTTCATGAAAGCTAATAATATTTTTTTTTGTTAAAACATAACTGTTAATATATGGACTGTGAATTAATTTGGTTTCTTGTTTTTGAACGATAAATATTTGCTAGTAGGAATATATTCACAACTTTTGATAAAAAAGATCTATATCAAGGACTTAGATAGTTATTTTTAATCACTACCTTATGCATATCAAAATGCACGCTATTTCCCAGTCATTTATATTTTTAAGAGACAGATATAACAAGTATCTTTGTACCAACAATCATGTTTTCGAAGTGATAATCACAACGTGTTAATAATATGTATTCTAGTGCCACATTTGGCCGGCAGCAAAACTCGTCCTCATCATGGCGTGTTCCTGAAACAAAGTTTAACTCGTAATATTAAAATATGATAAGTGAATGATGAAATATATTGCGACATCGTAAAGTAACGGAAAATGTCTTAAAGGAACGGAATGTGTCGATTACAAACGCCATCTGGCAAATGCAATTATATAGCCGATTAACAGATTTACAGAGACTATTAGGCACAACTGAAATTCTCATTATTATCAGGACGTCTTTGCCATGTGACATTTTATGATCTGCGTGAGGCAAAAGTCCAATACAACTGAAAGTCCAGGTTCTATTTTCTACACTAACTTTTGAATATTTCATTATTTCCAATCTGATACAGTGTGGTATCCTCTCATCGTAGTGATTAACACAAACATAGAATGTTTCTAGGGGTATATGGAAAGCAAGGCGCCGTTTTTGAACAAACAAAATATTCCCGCAGTTTTACTGTACGAATAAATCTAGATTATTTTTTGGCATGGGTTTTTCACTAGAGCGGGCTATACCATAAAAAATAAAAAAATTGGAAAAGTTATTAAAGAAAATGAAATCGTTTGTATTTGTTTTTTGTCCCACGCAGATTATAAAAAAGTAACATGGACACATAGCTGAAACATCTTTTCAGAATATCACCATTTAATTTGATATTACTTTCACACTTTCTTCATGAATTTGTTTCACACTTTCAGCAATTGAACAAACTGTAGATAACATGATCACACTCAAAATAAAAATAGTTGTCGAAAAAAAGATAACAATTATTCTTAATCACACACAAGAAGTATCGCAAATGGCGGTGTTTGCTCCCAAAAACAGCACATTTGACAATTTATTCCAATGATCATCAGTGACATAAATGATGACAGTAAGAGCAAAGTACACAAGTATTGTAGGCACCAGCGGCCTTGATCCCAGTGACCCCATTCTCTACTCAAAGCTAGGAGATTAAACAAAGTATCGGCCTACCAAATATATAAGATATTATTAAATAAGTAAACTAGAAGGCTCCTTGAGCTAAGGAGTAAAACTATGTTCTTTTCACTCTGGTTACCCTTCGTAATAACCTCTAACTCAACAAAAGTTACATGACCTACTACGGTATCTACAAACCAGAAAATAAGATATCAGACTGAGGAAGCAACAGTGTAAAAATCTATGTATAGCACCGATGACATAGACCAAGTAACCTCTTACTACATTTTAAGTTAGAAGACAACCTCAAGACATGTTCAAACTAAAGACATTGCTAAAGACATTGGTCAATTAATGAAAACTGAATACGCAAAAGTGTAACATGCTTTATAAAAGGAGTTAAATAAAAAACAAACAAAAAAAACAGCATGTTAGAATTTTGGTTTAGGAAATTGATCTTGGTTTTTTAGTGCCTTGTTGTATAATATTGCAAGGTATAACATTGCAAGGAGTGGAGTTTAGGTGTGGAGTAGAACACTAACGAAGGTTGTAAACTAGAGTGAGACGGTTGGTCGGATATACGAACCGTACGGGTGTATGAGTTGGTTTTTTGTTTGTTCTTTATGTATCATTTTCCCACAAAGACCGATGCAAAATTCAACTTTAACCCAGGCTTTTTGTGGTTTCCTTCTGTTTTACTAGGACTTTAGTTATGTTCTTCTTATTATACTAGGATTTTCGTGTTTTCCTTCGTTTTAACTGAGACTGTTGTGTTTTCCTTCTATTTTACTATGATTTTTGTGTTTTTCTTCTTTTCCCTATTTTTTTTTATTGCGTGTTCCTTCTTTTTCTTTGCTAGGTTTTGTGAGGTTTCTTTAATTTTTACTAGGATTTTTAGATTTTTATCTTTAAGTCTTGTCGCAGAATCAAGCAAAAGTAACTCATTTGTGCAAAAAAACAGTGAACAAAATAGTTGTGTAAAGTAATATAAAATGTAAACATGAATGCCTTTAAGCTGCAAACTAATCCCATGTGACTTCTTGTAAGATTAATTTGATTTAAAAAAGAAAATTTGAGATGCATATTGTTAAGGGGCACAATAATCCCCAGTGCTCTCTCATGATAATATCTAGTTTTCATAAATCAAACATGTATAGAATTGGCAGAATGAAAGAGCTTAAAAGATGGTGCTCGTCTTGCTGAAATTTGAAATCCATAGTCATATAATATTATGATTGTTAAATAAAAAAAACAACTCGGTAGTAAGACTTTTACCATTCAAATAAAAATGCTGATATTGTTGACTATGTATTTGTTCCATTTTTTAAACTATAGCAAAATTATAAATGGAACTGGTGGAAACTGCTGTCAAAATATTTGTTGGTTAAATACATGTTCTTAAAAAGTGTTTGACAACTAGTTTTTTAAGCACAAACTTTTACTTATGTACATTATATGACGGCTGAATGGTTGTGTTGATAGAATAAAGACATTTAAACTGAGGGTTATTCAGGTCTCACAAAATGATTGACAGTTTACATGTATGTGCACTTGTAAACACATTCTTCATACCAAAATAATGTTTTGTTTCACTAAAAATCTGATTTTACTACGTTCAAATTATCGTGGTCTGATATACCAAGTTTGGTCTGACATATTTGTGGTTTGGAGAGTGTTATGTAACTTTTTGAATTAATAATTCATGTATATGTTTTGAATTTACATTTCAAATGTGATAAGGGAAGTAATCACTACCTGGAATGTTTTATAAAGTAAATTGGATTATTTCCCTTATTAAGGAAAATTATATATTTCTGGACATAAGAGGCACTTTGAAATTGTGTAGAGGCAATCATTAAGAATATTCTCATATGTAGAATCAAGTTATCAAGATATGAGGTTGATGTATATAATGTTAGATGAAAAACTTAGGAATTACTAAGTATAGGTATAAAGTCAAATGTTACATACTTTGTGTAATTATTATGAATGCTGTAAATGGACGACAAATTAGTAAGTCCTGAATTTGATCCAAACTAATACAAAAACGAATTTGCATTAGACTCATACAAAAATAGTGTTTTAATTGGTTGACTTTAGAAAATTTAATCTCTATGTTATTTCATCAAACTTGATCAGCTAAGCGTTTCAACCCCTTAACATGCTTAGATGTTATTTATCACGGCTTTATCAGATTGTTTTACCTCTTAAAGTAAAGTTCATTTCAATCGAATATGTGAGAAAGAACAATGTGTTAGTTACAAAAAACGGTGCAACACAGACTGCATTATCTGTCGTAGGATTAGAATGTCCAGACAATTCTTATTTCGAATCGAATTCTTATCCTCATTTGATTTTAGAAATTAATACGAATATGTCTAATAGTTACATTTAAATATATTTCAACATGAGTTTACTTTTCCTTTTAGTGGTCATAGAACAGAAGCAAAATTTTAAATGCTCATATTTCTTATGTATTCATATTATCATTTTGTCAAATTGCAATGTTTAACCTTCCAGGACATGATTGGTGGGATGTCTGGAGTTCGTATCTCAGTGCCTGTAAGGGCAGATGGATCATCATTAAGACTAAACTACCTTAGGTACACTATTTCCATATCTAAAACAATATTGGATTTTTCTTGTAAAAAGGAAAAAAAAGATAATTATATTTTATGTACATTAAAATTTGAATCATAAACTGATAAAAATGTTCCCTAACAAAAAAAATGTCTCACTGCAGTGAAAAATGAATTTAAAAGTGAAAATACGGAAATGAATATACTCATTTAATTTCATCAATGTTTTTCAATATTTCATTTAAGTATAAAATAAATAAGTATATCAACATCCCGACTTTATAGCTAAGTGTATTTTTTTACAAAAACAAAATAAATAGAATGAATACATAGCCCAAAAACTCAAAAAGATAGACGAAAAAAAAATGTTTAGAGACAATTGGCATAGAAAACACTTTGGAAGAATTATTATTTTAAGACATGGACTAAAAGTAATATTCTTTCTCTCATAAGGACAATATTTCTTGTTTTAGGAGACGTTATGTTACAAAAGATGTGTTATTAAAGGGCAAGATTGTGCACAGGAAATTATTCCATTATTTATAGCTTCTCCGCTTATAAATCACCCGCAATATCCCAGATTTTAGACGAGTCTTTAGCACATGCTGTACAAAGATCTCTATTGTTAAGATCTAATGTCAATTAATGGTTGAAATTTTTACGCAACCCACTGTGTACTGTGTGTAAAGTTGTAGAAGTTGAAAATAGGTTTAAAATTAGCATGTTCTAACGAAAATTGCCTAGTAGTTCAAAATGAAATAAAGAATAGTAATCTTACTCAAACTGATTTTTTCTGGTCTTTGTTTGAAATATTTTATTCTATTAATTTATTGTTGAAGTTGTAATACAGCCGGTTCTGTAGGGAATGATTTCCATACGCTCTCTTAAATTCAAAAGATACTATTATGTATTACACAATATTAGTTGTTGTTCTATTTTTTTATTCCCCTTTTGGCATGTTTTGAAAGAACATATTAATTTAAATCTTTAGAAATGTTTAAATATACGTATATTTATGTAACACAAACACATTTCATAACAAATCTTAAATCTTAAAATTTTCTGAATATAACATTATATGAGTTGTTTCCATGCATTAAGGCTTCTGAACATCTTCTTGA